ATAATGATTTGTTAAGTTTTATTTAGAATCAGAAAAATTATGAATCGGAAAAGTAAGAAACACGAAAGAGATAGATATGAGGATGAGATCAATTATCTTTCAATCAACTGAATTATGTGTTGTGATGTGAAACTCGCATATTTTTTGATTTCTTAAATTTTAATAAGTGTAAAAAAGAAATTGGAAATCGAAATAATTCCAGTATTCATTGGAGATGGATAAGTAAGCTTGACATGCTTGGCCAAGAGAGGTGGGCGGTGAGATCATGCTGTGCGAATTGATTGGGAAATAGAAGATTGCAAAAATGTCATCTCTCACTCACTCACTTACTCACGATATGTTTGTGAAAGACAAAATGGTCGTCGGACCACTTCATTCAATCCAAGAAGAATCTTTTGTTTGCGAGAGTGGCCTTTTCGCTTTGGAACCCAGCTGCTGCACACTCAAATTCAAATGTTTTTTTTTTCAAAAGTCTCTTGTATATTATTAGCTTATTATGTTGGCCTATTATCACTTATGAATAATCACTTAAACATTATCAAAATAATAATAGTTGAATTTTATGTGCAAAATTGCCAAGTTTTTTGTTTTGTTTTGTTATGTAATCATATATTAGAGATATTGGGGTTGGGGAATTTCAACATACGAGAGCACATGACTTCATATACATGGGTTCTTAATTTCTTAAGCTATAAGAGCATCTCAAACCGATGTGTCAAAAGTACCACATAGACATTTAACAGTTAGAAATAATATCTCACATCATTCCAACCGATGTGTCAAAGCTGATGTAGAATGAATGCTGGAGGTTGAGATGTTATTTTTGACATCCCAAAAGCAAGATGTCAAATGAATATTTTATTATTTTTAAAAATAGATGGTTGTTACTTTCATTTATTATTTTCATTATTTTTATTATTTTTGAATAATTTGACTGTTATAATAATTATTTATTTGACATATCGGGTGGAGTGTAAAATTGTCTAAATGTCAAATTGTCACATCAACCATCAAATTTAAATTTGATGTTTGGTATTTGACATATCCCTTGAAGATGCTCTAAGTCATTTGTTGGTGTTTGTATCAAAATTTGCAAATATTCATTTTTCTATTAGGCTATTTGTAATGGCGACACACTCACACAATTCAATCTTCTGACTTATTTCTAGGACTAGAGGGCCTGCAATTACTAGTAGGTGGTTAAGTGCAATTACGAGTAGGTCGTATAACCACTTTAGTGGCCCCAATGCAATTACTCTTTTTTGGGGGTCAATACCCCCAATACAATTACTAGTAGGCGGTTAAATGCAAACCCTGTAGTCACTTCATAATAATTTTATTAACAATTATATAGTAAATGTTTATAGGAAAAAAAGAGAGGGGAAAGTACAGTCATATTAGCCTATTAATCCTCCACACTAAAGACTAATGTCCTTTTTTCAGTTTATTATTTACTATTGTAAGATATCGTGTTATAATTCAGACCCTTCACACATACAATTCTAATTTCGACCATAGCTAGAGCGATCTTGGGGCAAACAACTAGGTTTAAAAAGTAGCATCTTGGGGCACTCATTTCATTTGACCCTTTTTTAACAATTTTTGGTAATGGCATGTGGTATATTTTGGGCACAAATATTACAATATCATTAGGATGAGGTCTTATAGAATAGAAGAATGTAAATTTTCCCATGCATCATATATTATGAACAAAAGTCATCCCAATAAGGAAAATTTGATCCATAGGGACCCCTTTCCTCCTCTCTCTTAAATTCAATAGCCAAAAAGGAAACCGAAGAATATTGTACATGGGCTGGGTTTGCTGTAAGAGGCTAAAACTCAAATCTTGGGCAAAAGTCATCCCAGACTCCTTCCCAAAATCCCAGCCCAAACTAGCTGTAGATTTTGATATCAGCCAGACTAGACTATGCAGCGTTGGCCGTTCTGTTTCTGTAGAAGCAAAAGCAACTCAGCACTTTGGGTTGTCGTTTTGGCTCCAAAGAGAAAGTTGAGCTAAAATTCTATCATCTAAATGAAAATAAGCAAGAAGAAGCAAAACCCTAGCAGCCTTCCTCATCATCCTCAGTTGGAATATTTTGTCTTGTAACTAAATCAATGGTGGCATTATTGAGGTAAAACTCTGGCAGACAACTCAGTGCTTAGTAGAAAGTCACTCTTTACACCTAAGTAAATTTAGGTTTTAGCCACCAAAAAATATGTTGATAAAAAAATAGTGGCATTATTGAGGTAATAACTTTTCTATTTAGCATAGCGTGATTCGCTGGGTATAACAAAACAGTGCTTTTCCCCCCCGTTTCATAAAAGTTTTCTGTTGGTGGGGGTTCGTACAATTTTCTTTTTTTCAATGATCCCAAACACTCAGCTTTCATTTCACTTGCGCTGGACGTTTTGTGGGGTTTGAGAACAGAATGCCCAAATATGGGTATGTAAAACAAAAAGGATTTATTGTGTGAGTACGTACTGAAGGATTTTCATAATCACCATCATCGATAGATTTTGTTATCATTAAATTAATGTTGATTTTGACAATACTACAAGTGTTTGAATGTTGGTCTCTATCCATTGATTTTTTTTTGGTCTGAACTCTATCCATTGATTTATGTAATGCATATTATGGAATCACAAATTTTGAAAACTTAAGCAACCATAGAATTGGTTAGTTTTTACGTTCAAAAGTGGAAAGAGATGTATATTCATACAAAAATGTGCGGTACAATTATATTACGTGAAATTAGAACTTTTGATTTAAATAATTCATCGTTTGAGATGTTATACAACGCTAATTTGAATGATTCATCGTTTGAATCTTTAGTTTAAATGGACAATCTATTGATTTACATCAAAACTCTCACGCAGGAGAAGATTATGTTATACATTGTGCATGTTATGCAGGCAAGAATGTTGGCCGGTAATTGAAGATTGGATCAAAGGAAGCAGAAGAAGCTGAAAAACCCAACGAGCCAAAGGGTGAATCAAAAATAGTCACAACTTACAAGAAAGAAAAGCAGAGAGCAGGCAGCTGCAGCTCAATCTCATCTCATGTCAAATAAACAATACAAGTAACGTCTTGAAAGTATTTTGATGGTATAAAAATATGACATGACATGACAAAAAAACGGCCTCGTTTGCATCATCTGCAGCAAAGGGCAGCGATTTCACAATGCAATAAAAGAAAGCCCAAGATTCTGCCGGGTGGAAGGGTTTTGAAAACTATGTTGAAAAAAACCTTCACTGATCACTCCAAAACCATTTTTATGTTTCTATTAATTTAAAATTAATTAATTCCCAATCTGATACGTCTTTCTTTTGTCTTCACAGCAAACAAAAATGAACTGTAGGGCATTGTGGATCAGACTGGGGTTTTGGTTTGTTTGTTGTTGGGCTGGTGACAGAGTGGTTGGTACAGATGGGGTCCCTGTCCAAATTTCTATCTTCTCAGTCAAATGAAAATTGAACGGTCAGGATTGATTGGACGGCTAGGTGAGAAGAGAATGCTGCTGGTTATGGGGATTTAGGGTACGATACGATGGGTCAGTCACCCGTCCATCCATCCATTACCATTACCCATAAGGTGAGTATCTCCTACTGTCAGATTACAAGAGTATAACTTGAATGATGTCGAAGATCAACTTTTTATTTTATTTTATTTATAAATTGACGAATCGAAGATAGAATTTCGTGTGCATAAATAAACGTTATTAATGATTATTATATGATAAATTAACACTTAATCTGCTTGTATTTTTCTTTTCGAAATTAAAAGAGCTTTCAAATTCACGTTTGCTCGAGAAAAACTTTGTTGCCTCATGAGCATGCACCCCTCGTTTCTACGTAACTCCTAACACGATGCATGTCAAGTGAGTAGAGAAGTAAGAATAAAGAATGCATGAAAGTAAACAAATGAAAACTGCTCCACTTTTCGTTGAAAATAGAGGTGGGTCTAAGGACCTATACAAGATTTGATGATTTTGTAGTAGTTCTAATAGTAGGTATTTTGAGCTACAAAACTTGAAAGTAGATTGAAGAAACCGACCATATATGGGAATGGGAGGACAGTTGGAGGATAATAGAATCAACTCAATAGTAGACAGAAAGTATGTGAGTTTGTTGATATAATTGGATCCAAGCCAACCTGTCTAAACGTGAGCTGAATATGATGTGTCTGCACATTATTACGTTATTTTATTACGTAGTTCATGACATTATACATAATCTAATATACAACTACGTCTATGGTTTGAACTCTCATTCAATAAGATATGTAATCTTAATGGCTTATGATAAATGTAACCCTTAATAAAATGTCGTAACGGTTTACGATAAATCTAAATCATAATAGAAAAGGATGAATCCATCGATTTAATATTGAATCTGTTCATCCAATTGTAGAAATTTACTTTGTTAGTATCTTTTTGGTTACCTTCAAGTACATTTTAGGGGCGGTTTTATACGCACTTGTCAAAACTCAACACAAGATTCATAGAATCAAACTAGCTTTTGATCTAATACTAGATCTCTCCTTGACGTTAGAAGAGATCTTAAGTTGGAATTTCACTCCCCTCGTGTTTTTAACATGATTTATTCCACATCATTTGTTGTTAAAGATTCTGGTAGTCCATTGCAAATTCAAAGCCCAAACCCAACCAATGACCCAATTTGGGACTCGTACGAGGATCAGACTGAGGACTGCCATACCAAGCCCATATGAAAGAGATCTTTATGTTTTGGTTGCGGATTTACTTAAATGCTAGGAAGAAACCACCAGCTCTCCACTTAAACCAACTCAAATCCTATAAAAAGAGACAATGTGAAAGAATTTCATTTTATTGACTGGCAAGACCTTTCATTCAATTTACTTTATATGCAAATCATGGGGGACCTTTTTTTACCTGCTTGCAATCAATCAGCAGTATTCACCACCCCATTGAGTAAAAAAAAATGAAAAAAGAATTAGTAAACCACAAGGGCAATGTAACTTTTTACTCAAGTAGCGGTTCACAAGGGACTTGGCCAAAAATGTCAGGACATGAATCCCAATGTCCCTTTTCTCTTGCCTCCCAATATCCACCGATGTACTGGTATGTGTCGCTTCCTTTGTCCTTTGCAAACCACTGCGGCCTCCAACCCTGCTCTTGCATCTTTCGAGCCTGAATCCCGATCAAAGCAGCATTTCGTCAATTACAACAAACCAATAAATACCATTGTTGCAAGAAGCTTAAACTGTCTCGTAATAGTTTGCAGGTGCTTATATGTGAGTTAATGACATGGAAAAGATGCAAAACACAACTACAAAAAAAAATGTTGATACTTATATATTCAAAAATGCAATATTACCTGCCGTTGCCTCTGCTCTAGCCTCAACTTCTCTGCATTTGCCATTTCATACTCCCCATTTTCCAGATACCTTTGATCGGGCCTGAGCCTTGAATCTGTTGGGGGCAACTTCTGCTGCATGTCATTAAACTTGAAGAATCATAAACTGCTAGCAGTCATTGTTTCAAACCGTACTTTCCATACCACCAACATCTACACAAGATAGATCAAACTAAGGAACACACTCATCAAAATAATTACCTTAAGTCCAGGGGTGAGTTCATTCATTGTGATGGCAAAGCGTGTTAAGTTATATCTGGTTGGAAACTTGGGTGGCTTGCTCCTCTTCCAGAGCAGGCAGGCTTCAGATAAAGAATCAGATCCTTTTCCCTTCCCTGAACAGTCTCCATTCACATAGTGCATGCTCTCATCCCATTTTCCAAACATTGTTGCTACCGTTTTCCCATTCCTATCTTGAACTATACCATGTACCTAATGGAGAAAAGCGGAAAACATACAAGTAGTTAGAAGATTTTATCAACTAATAAATAACTGCTACAGAACAGATATCATATCGTGTTCCATTCTCTTTTTTTTTCGGTCAAGATGTTCCATTCTTTTTTATAAAAGATTCACGTCTTTTTCCTTTGATTTCCTAAACATTTTCAAAAACATCAGAAGTATTTCTGTATGAAGAAAGGTGGTAAAATGAGGTGAACTGCAAAATGTCCACACATTTTTCCCAACCTGATAAGGAAAAAGAAAAGACAGAACTGTCTGATAAAACTCACAGGGCAAACTCTTCAGTCATTTCTCCTTTCTGAATAAAGCGGTTCTCAGTTATCAAATTGGGCATATACTGAAACTTAAGTTCACTTTCACAAATTGCTGACGGTGTTTCTTATCATTTGTTTCTTCAGTTTCCCCAGCATAAAATCCTAATATCACACACCATTGTTCTCTACTTTGAAAAATTAAAGCCTTCTAAAACCCAATTTAAGTTGAACTTAAATTTTGAAATAAATTTACTGAAACACAACCACCACCAACATTAGTCTATGTAAACTGGCTGCTGACTCGATAGTTATATAACAAAGCCTCTCCTTAAAAAAAAATTATATATCAAAACCATTTAGTAATCATATTCTATCTGCAGATTCAAAGTTGTCTGAAATACTGGCAAAAGCTAGAAGCAAAATTTTTTCCTGCTTCAATTAATAACATGCTGGTGTGATCAACTTAAATGAAATACAATTGAAAAAGAAAATAGTACCTGGTGAGGATTTCGGTCAATGATAGACTGCTCCTTAAATTTCAGCTTACATGAAAACTCATGCTTTCCCTGTATTCGCATCGTACCATAGTGATCACAGTACAGCTTTCCCAAAATGAGGTTGTAAATGGATGTCGTAACCTGGCCAAAAAGAGGTTCACTTTTAGACATGAACTTAGAAAATAATGAACACAATCCCTGAGTTGCTGGGGTACATACTTTACTCCATTGAAGAACTTCCCCATCATCAAATTCCAATGTCAGAACACCAACAGGATCAAGCTGAATCGAGCGACCCCAGAATTTACTCTTCAAATTGCTGTCTCCCCAGAATTTCCATCCTTTACCCTCACAGTGGCAAGCAATAATCATGGGGTGATGACTAACCTGACACCCAAAATATAAGAACCTTTACTATTTGATACATAGTAGAAAAAGAACAATAATGGGAATTTTAAATCGATTAAATATACAAAGGTTGCACCCTAAGGACAAAAGACGGTGAATAAAATTCAGTTAGTCATATGCTTAGATTCTTCCATATACACCATATAACAGGGATGCCAAATTTTTTTTTATAGGGACTACCACAAATATCTCCCCAAACCCCTGGGTTTTCTGATAGTTACTTCACCTCTCTGCTCCAAGGCTCATTTCTTTCCAATACATTATACCTTTTTCATTTATCAGATTACCTATTCAGAATTCAGGCTATCTGGGGAGTTTCAAACTTTCAAATCTCAATACATGGATGTTTTGATTTATATTTAATCAAATCAACTTAAACGTTTTTTTAAAATCTGAAACTAGCTTCACTGGGTGACAATACTTTTCTCTTCCCACAACTGCATATCAAAAGTTAAAAATTGTTCATCATTGATCAAATGGTGATGTTAACTTCAAGATTCAATGTTCTCATTGACCACGTAAGATTCTTTACGATCATGTTTGGGTGTCACAATCCAAGCGTATTTTAGTATGAAATACTTGATAAATGCACCACTCAGCTGAATATATTAATCTTGTCCACCCCAATAGGACAGCATCACGTGGCCTAATTCTCACAATGTAAATATATTCAAACAGAACAGAAGGTCTACACGAGAATAGTATATGAGATTGATTGTGATAAGATAACTTGCAAGTTCAGGTCTAAGACTTTTTCACACCTTCTCTGAGAAAAACCGGAGGCCTTTGTCTGGATAGTCAGCCTCAAATGTTTCCCCCAATAATGGATTGAATGGCTTGCAAATCCTTCCTTCAGTTGATGCATATCCAGAAACCGCAAAAGCAGCCACATTAAGAATCCTCATAAGACTATTACCCTGCAAGGCTTCAAGGAAAGCCAAAAATAAGTTAAGAGAGCACTGTGCTAATCTAACACATTTAAGAAAGCTATTGTTGGGAGGAGACTAGCATTGCAATGCGGATGGCTTTGAGGTCTTACCCTTTTACCCCATTCATAAGCTCGATCAAGGAGGTATGAATATTCCAAATCCTCAAAACCTTTTTGTAGAGTAGACAGAGGCTCATTAAAGTATACAGGAAGACAGATTTTTGTGAGATCCTTCCCAATGTTATCCTTAATCATTGACCAAAGACTAACACTCTTCTCTTTTTCAACAGGGTCAGGCAATTTCTTACGCCGCTTGATGAAAGGAAAGTTAGCTCCAACTGATCTCATGGATGGATCGATACCATCTTCTGATTCAATGGCATTTATCCCTTCATCATCTGAAGAGACAGATGACATCCGATATTCGGACCCATTACTTTTGAAAGAACTTGATGAAAGAAAATCACGAGTATCAAAGAAAGCATTGTCCTCTTCATCTGTTTCTTCCTCTGCAGCATCATCAACTCTTCCATTATCTTCGTCAGAGTCACTTGCACTTCCTTCTGAAAAATTAATACCAATGCAGGATTAAATTAGCATAAGGAAGCATGACGTAAAACCTAGAGAATATATTAGAACACATCATTTCACATGGCACAGAGTCTGGCACATTCTAATATTACAAATGCAAAGAGAGGTTGGAAGAAAGGCAATTTAAGTAACATATATATCTTGTTACAGGAAATACGTGTTGTTAAACTTCTACCTCAATGCTTACCACTGAATTTGTCTTGCCTTGATCTAGCAGAAGCCCCACCATCTTTAAACTGACGGCTCTCATCAACCACTGTATTCTCCAAATCTACCTTTTCTGTCTACACAATACAGTATGAATAGCCATTTTATTAGCAAGAAACAAATGAGTAAATGAGGAATAAAATCCCCGCACCAGAAGTTAAAACTCTTAAGGAAGCAACCTTTGTATGAACAAAAGATACCTCTTTAAAAAAACGCTTATATACATGAGTGTGATGAGCAGCATTGTACAATTATCTAGTGTCCCTTTTTTGGCATCTATTAAAATGTCATTAGTACACCTCTCTTTCTTTTAGGTAATGAGGACATTTTTCTTTACTTTTCTCATTCAATGATATACTGGCGTATGTGTGTAAGATTGATCCGACATTCAATGATATATGCCCTTTTTAAAAGATTAAGAGGGGTAGTTTTACAGGTGCTAATATTGTGAAAGTGGGGTATGGGGAAAGTAGGTTAGTCTTCTAAGGCATTTTCGATTTGATGAAAGTAGTTTTTAATCCTCAAACATGTTGATGTTAGATGAAGTGAAGCCTCGCACTCAATCAGGAACATTATTCAGTCTTGACCTCAACAGAGCTATTAGGTAAACAGTCAAGAAGGTAATGAAATGGCTATGAAAGTCATAAGAATAGACAGCATGGTGACTGGCTTACTTGTCAAGTGTTACCACAGATTACTCTTAAAAAAAGACAGGTGAAATTTGAAAATGCAACTACAATATGTTTCCTGGTAGAAACCCCATACAGAGAAGTGGTCTTTCAATACACCAAATTAATATGATCCAGATGCATATATAGATCATCAACTCCTGTTTTTCAATGAAATCAGCTTATTCCAAAACATAGACCACCAAAGAAACAGGATGTAGCATAAATCTACGAGAGACCATGTTTCATACAAAGACAATACTACAAGATATCACTTGTCAAAACAAGAAAACATGGATGCCAAATAATATTCAGATTGCCCTAAATGAAATAACTCTTCAACACTCATTAAATTTAGTGTTTTTCAGCAATCTGAAAAGAACTAACAACCACCACCATAAAGTTGATGTGACGTCATTTAAACACTCCACATTTAGCCTTCAAAAACCGATAAACATCCTAATATTACTGGAACTGTGGAAGGATACTACTTTGACCTGTTTAAAATAACTCATCAGTCCTTGAACAGATATCGTATTACCCATGCCACAAGAAAATCCCAGAGAGAAAACCACATGTCTATACTAAAGACTCTCAGCCCACGTCGATTTTCAGACAAACCACCTAGAAAATATATAATTAGAATTGACCAACTTTTAGTCATTTGGACAGTTTTTAAATTTTTCATAATAGTTCGGACAGAAACTAAACAAGAGTGATCTAGTTTGTACAGTATCAATGTCATCTTCTCGTGTAGTGACCTTGCCATGATTCCTTTAAATTAAGGCACTGATACTAAATAATGTCCTTCGATTTAACACTCACATCACTCAAGCCAAAAGACAACAAAAACACAATTAATAAGATTGATTATATTTAAAAAAATTTACAAAATTTTGAGAAAGAAAAATAGCCTCTGTCTCCCATTCAGCACAAACGAATCACAACAAATGACTACTCCACAAAGCTGAAACACACTACGCCAACAGCCTCCTAGCAATTTACTTCGTGGTTTTAAAAAAAAAAAAAAAAAAAAAAAAAAAAAAAGGATTTTTGTAGGAAACCAAAGAAGAAGATTCCGAATTTCAATGGGCCAAGGTTTCCATACCTCTAACTGTCGCCAGCGTGTCGATTAAGAGCCACTGCTTCTGCTTGAGCAGTAGGAGCTGGTTCTGTAGCGCTGCAAACTCAGTCCTCATTATCTGTTCACTGTCCTGAATGGCTGCATCCCTCACACCTTCTTCCACAAGTCGCTGCCTAAGTTTTCTCGGTTGAAACGGCGACATTGTCCACCGGAGCCATCAACTCGCTGTTAGAAATCCGCGGGAACATGTCTTTCACGGCCTGCAATGCTTCCACCCACGCGTATCGATCTTCTCGCGACTCTGCCCTCAAATGCAGCCTCTTGGTGCCTGTGAAGATCGAGAATCTCTTATCATCCGATTTGCTTTCGCGGATGCTCGAAACCTGTGAATGAGTTCATCAAATCACAAAATTAGATTAGAATCAACCACAAATAATAAAATAAAACAAAATTGGGCAGAATTTAATCAAATTAAAATCTCATCTAATCAAATACTAAATTAATTTTTTTTAAAAATATACAACCAACGAAGAAAATGCCGATCACTTTAGAATTCCGATTAAAATTAAAATAGGAAACGAAATGAAAAAAAGATTTAAATAGAGAGAAATCATATACTTCTAATTCTTGATAATCGACGAAGAAATGAATCAAAACGTATAAACAGAAATGAAAATTTTGAAGCCAAGAAATGAAAATGAAAATCAAGAGAAGCTGAGAACCTTGAGATGGACTTCGCCGAAGGGCTTGCGACGAAGCTGGTGAGGAGTGCCATTCCTCCTGTGCCTCGAAATCCTCCGCATCGATTCTTCGCCGATGACTTTCGAGCCTTTCTCGGTCTCAACGCTAACGACTATTCTATCGGGGCCGTGAATCTTATAATACGACAACACTCCATCCTGCAACACGAACCACCTCGGCCGCCACCCTTTGCCGTAATTCACCCACTTGTACAGAATCCCCGAAACGCCATTCCCGACGATGTCGTTTATCTTGACGTCTACAGGCTGCTCCCGAGCCGAGGGCGGCCGAGCCACAACCTCTGCGGCTGCGACGGCTGCGGCGGCCGCTGCAGCCGTGGTCCGCTGGCTGAGGCGGCCGTAGTCTGCGCTGGAATGGCTGAAGCTATTGCTATGATTGCTATTCGGGTCGAGTTTCGCGGGGCGGATGTGCGTGTCGGATCTGGAGCCGAAGGAGGACATGTGGAGGTCCGAGGAGTGATCGGAGAGCGTGGAGACGCAGCAGAAGGGATGCATATGGAATTATACGGAAAGAGTTGGGGGATGCTGAAATTGGGCTCGGGCCGTGGTGCTGACGTGGCGGCAGAGAACGGCGGCGGTTACGGTTGCGGTTGGGATTATTGTTAGGTGTTTCATTTAGATTTTTAATTTTTAATTTTCAGCAATTTGCGTTGGGAATTGGGATTGAGGAGAGAGAGCGAAACGGATAAAGCGAGTTTCGCGTGAAAATGGGAGAAACGGTTATAAAGAGGAAGGAGTTGGGGTTTCGGAGGGAGCGACGGTGACGGAGCGGTCAATACAAACTACTCACTCTCTCTCTCTCTCTCTCTCTTTTTCTCTCTCTCTTTGTTTTAAAAAAAATATGAGGCGGTTGGGCCACTGTGTCTGTGATGAGTTGTGACTTTCTCTCTCTTGAGGATGGGGTGGGATTGGGTGCGGGGAGGAGTGAGGGGTTAAGGTGGAGACGGCAGCCGGCTGGGTGGTGGGAGAGCGACACGTGGGAAACGCGTCTGGGGACACGTGTTGGGGAGGGAGTGGTTAGTGAGTGGCGGGGGTGTTTGGATGTTTGACGAGGGATGGTTAATGGCTTTCACGTCTTTGACTTGGGACTTTGGCAATTGCGCTGGCGTTTGGGTACTTTTCTTACGTATTGGAAACTTCTTTCTTTTCTTTTTGGTTTTTTTTAAATATAATGAAATTGATTCGATAACTTTTTAATTTAAAATTGCAACTACCTTGTAAAAAAGGCCTAAAATTGGATGCTCATGAACACATCTGAATGCCTAAGGCAATGTAATTAGATGCTTATTCATGTAATTTTAAAATAGTGCTAATCAACGCTTATTAATAGTTCATTACATTTTATTTTGAACATTTTAGGTGGGTACATACATTGTAGCCAAATCAAAAGAGTTGGTTGTACAATTATATCGCACGAAGATGATATTCAACCTTTTTTTCTCTCTTTTCGTACCAAAAATACAACATACTTTGTTGAGATAGTTACAAGTTACAACCCCTTCACTTTTTTTTGTTCTTTTTTATTTTTTGTTCAAGTTACAGAGCAAGTAAATTTGAAAATTTTTGGAATTTTAAAGCACTTTGATTAAATAACAAAGGGTCTAATTTGGTATTATGGTGTTGTTGATCTATCCATTTTTTGTTAAGCTTATCTCATTTGTTGTCCCCATTGCATTTTCCATTTGTTAAACATCAATGCATTTAATTGTGTGTGTGAGAAACCCTTTTCCCTGTAGTTTAGACTATCGCTTACAAAAAATAAAATAAAAACTCAGTGTATTTAATTGTTTACATTTATAATCTTGACAGTTGAATAAATAATAAGTAAACTAAACTAATATTTATGTTCTCATGCCCACAATAATGAATTAGTTGGTCTAGACACTCAATAACCAAATTTCATCCTTAAAAGCAGCTACAATAAATCCCTCGTATTAGCTAGTTTGGCTAAACTTTGGTAAAGAGTCTACATCTAAAGCCAATCTTTGGATTGATGAACGTTATAGTTAGACAATCTATTTAAGGAGGAAGATAAAATAAATAACTACAAGTTTCAAGAGGAGTGAAATCTAGGATTGAGAAATCTTAGTTTGGTTACATTTACAAAAAGGTGTACATGTACACAGTACTTTTTTATCATTTGCAAAACATGGGAGTAGATCATCATTGTAACACAATTAATTGACAACATTGATTGTGACACATGTATAATTCACATTTGCGACACAATTACTATCATTTGCACCCACGACACGTATATAACGCGCATTTTGACAAAGAAAATATGAGAGTTCAATGATCAAATCAAACCTAACTAACTGTAGATGCAGGAGCTAGGTCATATAGCCTGCAAGCCAAAAGGAAAAAATAGAGGTAAAAGAGTAAAAAATCCTACTGTAAATTTCTGGGGTCTAGGTTGACGTCAGGGAATTATTGCTCGCGTGAAAATTCAAACCTACAGAATCGTCAAGGGAAGAAGATTTCATCCCTAAATCCAATTATTAGATGATAATCTCCTGGATTACGATTTGTCTTGACTGCCTATCAAAAAGTTGATTTGTCTTGATTAAAATGCTTAAATCTGTTTGGGGTAAATGTTAGAAGCTTCTATTTTCCGAAAGTCATTGGTCCTATTTATTTCATGAGAAATTTCTTGTGACTATTTCGCCTCCGAGATTAAATAAAAACAAAGTAAATATTTACTAATTGGGTACACGTGTAAATAGTAGCAATATTGACCATATCCACCATAACTTTGAATCTAAGCTAATGTACTAATCATAATCTGGTTCCACGATTAACTTTTACTTATTCCCCTCTAGAAAAAAAAATTCTTATCTTCTAAATCATTTGATGATTGATTTTTTTGTTTTGTTTTTGGATATTTGGTTTTTTAAAATATTATTATTGGATTTGGGGGATCACCGAAAGAATATCAAATCTTTACAACCAAATGGCATATAACATTATTTTGATACCAGAAGATTTGGCATCCGAGGATGGACTTCTCTAGGCCTAGGCTACTAACCAACAAAAAAGATTTTGTTAATTTATGTATAATAAGCTTGCTTGAAACTTAAGTGATTGCGAGTATTTAGGCGTGCACTCGAGACCTCATCATCTAATATTATCTGTGTGAATTATTGACTTTGTCATTGAGATAAACTGCTATCATCACTACTTTTGTAATTAAGGAAAAAAAGGAAAACTATTCTGACTACTTTCAAATTACAATGTTGATTTATAGCGGTTCTTCTCTTTCTAATTTTAAAAGAGATTCCAAAGTTTAACCTACCTTATCGGTTGAAAAACAATCACAGTAAAAACGAACTCATGATTTGTGCTTTTTGGATAGTGGTGAATTCACAATATACACATTTCACATCAAAACTCAATTCAGGGAGCGACGTGGGAGTATGCACTGATTGAATAATACAAGCTAAAGACAAAGTGATCAAATTGGAAGCAACGACAAGAAGAATTTCGAATCACATTTGGATATCCGAACGTCCATATTGACTTTTGCCATAAATTTTAGTATAATCTAATATAATTTCTTAATTATTATTATATGCATTGCAGGCAGTCCTCAAAAAAAATAATTTGGGAAATATTTTATGTTCTTTTTAAAAATCTTTGTTGTGCTATAGTTGACTATATTCCCCAACTCTCACATTAGGGGGAATTATAGTGTTTTATTATTTTAAACCAAAATAAAACCATATTTGCAATATTTTAAGCCATCCATGCGTTTTTAGTGAATGATTTACATGGCTTCCAAACATTGTTCAATGTTGTTAACTTTAGTTTAAAATACAAAACTATATGTTCAATGTTTAACCTAAATGTTTTTCTTTGGTCACAGTGTATCGTGCATATTATCATGGTTAACTTCTTCTTTTTTCAATGAAATTCCAAATCACATGCGCTAATTATAATTAAATATGTTGTAATATGTATGCAACAGGGACACGATAATATACGTTGTGATACAAACTGAAATGAATATGAAAGTGTCGAGATTATTTGATGCAAAATTGATTTGAATGGATATTTAAATGAGGATGAAGAGACTGAATTTGAAAATAACTTGCAAGTTCACGTAAGGAAACATATCAGCCAAAGGGGCCTAATCCAGTGAAAAAGTGCATTGACTTGTAAATTAGTTATGTTCGAACCCCCATAGCACATTGATAGTGTGTGTGTGAGAAACCACATTCCCTTTGTAGTTTAGACTATAGCTTATATTAATAAATAAAAAGGCAAATTGAGATAATGAAGCATTGCTACCGTGACACTAGAGTTTTTTCTCCATAAATTGAGACAATTAATCAAGGAAATGCAAGGGTCAAACCATGTATTTTTTAACGGGTAGGCTAGCGACATTTATTAGTTAAAAATCTAATGATAATTTTTTATTTATGTACTTACAATTTCTATAGTTTTTTTTAGAATGCGAGCTTGCGAGAGATTGCCCCGGGGCATCTCAAAAATATTCCGCCATAGTTAAAGTACATTAAATCATATAAACCACACTAATTTATAGCTCAATTAACTAATTTTAATTTTAAAAAAGTCTTTGAATACAAATAATATTAGAAGAGGGGAAATTAAACCTTGGACAAGGATAAATCCAAACCACTGATGGGTCTCAAAAACCTCACTCGGCCACAGCCTACTGTAGTCCTTGTAGTAGTTCCTCCCGCGTGAGGGAGTGGTATAAGGCGTGGCTGCACGGAACACATGTGGAGCATAATAAATAAAACGTGTAGCCGACCTAAGGGTGTCACGCGAAATTAGAGAATTTAGAAGAAACTGTTGTTAATCTTGTGTACGACCCCAAAAAAACCCAGTCAAAGCTGGCAGAGGGTGACGCTGATGACACACACGCGGTGGTCGTCCTTGGTGAGGAGCGAGAAGTAATCTTCTACTGCACAGCACAATGTACGTACCTACTTGTGTTGTGTCAGAACAGAGGACAGAGGACAAAGGGACAACATTCTGTTTCTGTGTGCTTTGTTGGTACTCAGCTGGTACTTTTTTCTTCTCCTTTATTTTGGTAAATAAAAATAATCACCAATCTTTACCCTTTAGCATTTATCGGTAGTTTTTAAGCTGAATAACTTTTGAGATTTTATCTCATACAAACGATATTAGAGAATGTAAAATTCAAATGCAGACGGCTCATTAATCACTTGAGTTATAAGTACCTTATATTTTCATGTTGATTTTAGTATCTTAATTAAAATAAAATGAGAGAATAATGTATTGTGTTGATGAGTTTCAGCCACCTAACTTTTGCATAGAAATTTACACAACTAGTTTATCATCAGAAATTGATCAAGCTATTGCAACATTATTGCATTATTGATTTAAAAAATGAACCAATTTATTGACCTTTTGATTTATCTTTAGCAACAATAATATACATGCCTTTAGAT